GCTATTTGACCCTGCAATTCTAAGGTATAGATACACCTTACAGAAGCGCTCTGTCATTGCTCAGGTTTGCCAGGTAGAATTTTCCACACAACCTTGTTTATGGAGGCAGGAGACCCCATGAGTCAGCCTTCAGGGACCCACTGGATAAATCATTCTCTGTCCGGCAATGGAATAGCCTACAGTCATTCAAAAGCCATAGGGAGACTTCCCTGAGGTGTGTTTATCTTTGAGCTGTTCAGTAGCTGTAGATGCTGGTGGGGTCTGAATTCAGAATGAACCCCACACTGGGGTTCTTTTTGTGTTTGTTGTTGTTTTTTGTTTGTTTGTTTCCAGCCTTGAATTCCTAGGTTTACCAATGGTGCCACACAACTTTGATTCTAGCTCTCAGGGGGCAGAGGCAGGCAAATAGATCTTTGAGTTCAAGGCCAGTCTGGTCTACAGATTGAGTTTCAAGACAGCCAGGGCTGCTACACAGAGGAACCTTGTCTCAAAAAATGAAAACAAAACAAAAAATTCCTGGGTTGGAACAATCCCTCTGCCTCAGCAGCCAGAGTGGCTGGGGATCCAGGCATATACCACTATACCTAATTATTCCAGGTTATTCTTTGTGACCTATGCATATGTGTTTGCATGTGGAAGCCAAACACCTCAGTGTCCTTCCTCAGCTGGCAGGGTCTCTTTGTTGGACTAGAATATATTGATTAGGCCAAGCTGACTGGCCAGAGCCCTCTGGGATCCTGTCTATTCCCAACTCCCCAGCCTTGGGATTATAAAGGTTATCGTGACTACTTTTTAAAAATATTGGCCCTGGGAATCAAACACAAGTCTTCATGTTTGTACAGCAAGCAATTTACCAGCTGAGCCATCTCCTTGGCCCACAGGCTATTCCTGTGTTGGGCACAAAGGGGAAAGTGGCTTGTAACTACCCCCAGCAAATGTTGGGGTTCTTCTGAACCTTCAGGACAGGCCTGGACACCCTTAGGAACGTGTCTACTGGCCTCATTATTGCTGCTTCCCCCAGCCGCCGCCACCAGCTGTGCCTAACTCTCTCTAGCTTTCACTTAAAAATCACAGTGATGAATAAATAGGAGCCATCATTTCCAAGTGTCTGCCATGTATGTGCCCAGTTTTGGCATGTGGGCCCAGTGCTGCAGTTAGGAGTATCCTGTTTCTTTTAACAGCTTTGTTGAGATATTCACACACCACACAGTCATCCACTTAAAATATCTGTTCAGTGATTCAGCAAATCCACACAGTCGTACAAACACTATGACAACCAATTTTAGAGTATTCTTATCACGTTGCTTATCACAATGTTCTCAAGGTTCCTATACATTGTACTGTGCATGAAAACGTTCCTTTTCGCTCTTAACTAATATTTCATTAACTGGATCGACCACATTTTCTTCATCAGCCACTCATTGGTTGATGGACACTTAGGCTATTTCTGTCTGGGGACTGCCATGAATAACGCTTCAGTGAATAAAGCTCCATGAATATTCATTGACAGGCTTTTGAGCAGACCTGTGTTTCCAGTTCTCTTGGGAGTGGGCCTGCGGAGAGGTGTGGAGACTGACACTGAGGAGCTGCCTCATTTCCCATCCTCCCTAGCAGTGTGAGTGCTCTGGGGTCTGCACATCTCCCCTCCTCGTCTGTCCTTTTGATGTCACCCTCCTTGTATGTTGCTATGGGATAATGTTCTTGTACACTGGGAAGATTTGTCGTTCATATCGGTTTAATAAAACACTGATTGGTCAGTAGCCAGGCAGGGAGTATAAGTGGAGCTTTCAGACTAGGAGAATTCTGGGAAGAGGAAAGACAGAGACTCAGTCACCAGCCAGATGCAGAGGAAGCAAGAAGAGAATGCCTTAGAGAGAAAAGGTACCAAGCCATGTAGATAAGAATTATGGGTTAATTTAAGTTGTAAGAGATTGATAGTAATAAGCCTGAGCAATAGGCCAAAGAGTTTATAATTAATATAAGCCTCTGTGTGTTTATTTGGGACTGAACAGCTGCAGGTCGGGGCAGGACAGAAACGTCCATCTACAGTATATATGATGACAGCTCGTGGTGATGAAGTTTCATTTCCCCAGCAGCATCCCCGTTACACAGAAAGGGAAACGAGGTTCAGGAAGGTGAAGAGCCTTACTGGAGGCCTTGCAGCAAGGGGGGGTAGGGACAAGACTCCAGGCCAGGTGCTTTGTTCCCCTTAGGTTCTCCCTATGGAGCTAGAGCAGGCACTCCAAATTCCCCTGTGGGAGGAGGAGGTTTTGAGAGGTGCAGATTTTGCTGTGACAAGCTCTGCACCAATGCCTGGCACAAAGCACAGTGCCTGGCTAGAGCTAGTGTGCACTGCCATCTGACATCAGCAAGGATCTCCTCCCTCACAAAGGGACCTAGGCCTTGCAAGGCCAGCATTGCTTTTGGACATTCTGAGATGGATCTTATCCATTGAACAACTGGTAGACACTGACCAAATGACCACAGGGCAGACAAGATGGTCCTTGTATACCTAGATTTTTGCAGCAGGTTCAGACCCCACTGGCTCCATACCTTAGGTTAGTTATGTCTCAACCCACCCATTCATCCATCCACATACCTATCCATCTACCCACCAATCTGGCCATCCATCTACCTATCATCCAGCAGTCTTTCCATAATACATCAGTCTGTCAATCCATCCATCAGTCCTTCCATAAACCATCAGTCTACCTATTCACTGACCCATTAGTACATCCCTCCATCTACCATTCACCCATTATTCATCCATCATCCATCCACCCATCTACCAACCCCTCATCCACCCATCATCCATCTACCAGTTCATCCATTGTCTATCCATTCAATTATCATCCATCTATCATCCGTCCACCTGTTGATCTATCTGTCAGTCTGTCCATCCATCCATCCATCCATCCATCCATCCATCCATCTTGCCTGCCTTCAGCTGTCATCCTCTGAGCTTATGTCCTCATTTGAAAAATGAGGATACAGAGCCTGTCTTGGGGATACTGTAGTGATGCAAATGTCTTGGGACCCAGTTTCACCATAGCAACACATCCCTGTCCCTGGGTAGTGTTATTGGTTTCTGAAGGTGCAGAGAAAGGGATCTGCTGGCCATACTGGCCTGAGATGTCCATGTCAACACATCTTCAGGGAAATTCTTAGCAAAACCATGTAGATGGGATGATCCAGGGCATGCATGGTGAGGGAGAAGAGTTTTGAAGGGATCTGGTCTTGCCAAGGCCAACTGCTCACACTTTTAGGCTAAGGAAGGTCCAACCACTGTGTGAGCTAGGGTGAACTGTGTGTCTTCTCTGACCCTGATTCCTCTTGTGTAATAGGGGGATGGTGATGGTCCGAGAAGAATGTGAGATCCTAAAGTGGACAGCCTGGAGCGCTGATATAGCAAATGCCTGTGAGACTCTCAGGCTCGTGTGCACGGTGGACATGGAAAAGATGCTCATAGCAGTAGCCCAAGATGAAACACTCAGAAGGAACACACGCAACACCCTGCCAACCCAGTATTGGAGAATCTGAAGCAGGAGGATCAGGAGTTCAAGGTCATCCTTGACCACACAGAGTTTAAGGCCATTCTGAGCTACATGAGACCATGTTTCTAAAACAAAAACACAAAACTCAAATAAATAGGGGCTAGGATATAGCTCCATGGGAGAGCACTTGCCTAGCATGTGCAAGGAATTCTCATTCCCAGCACTCAAAAAAAAAAAAAAAAAAAGTAAATTAAGAGATTTTATTTAAAGTAACTAACACAGTGGGTAAGACAGCTCCGCCAAGCCTGATGTTTGATCCTCAGGACCCACTTGGTGGGAGAAGCGAACTGACATCTTCGGGGTGTTCTCTGACCTCTGCATACATGCTGTGGCATGCATATACCCCCACATAAAGATGCATGTAATGAAAAAAAAAAGTGACATACATATAGGTATTAAAACTAAAAATAAACAAAAAAACCCTACTAAAATAGGCATATGAGACTCTAAAATTGATGATGATATTAGCATAAGAGTCACTATTGGCTGTGGTGATATCTTGCTTGTACAAATAAAGCCTGTCTGGGAGTCAGAGAATGGAGCTGGCCACTAGCTAACCATAGAGGTCTGGAGGTCTCTACAGACAGACAGGAAGTGAGGTAGCTGGGCCGAAACGGGATATAAGCAGGGAGAAACAAGAAATGGTTCTCTCGTTGCTGAGATGCTAAGGAGGTAAGGTGTGCTGTGGCCTCTCAGCATTTCCCTCTAAAAAAGATGGGCTCGGGAGTGACAGGTTTTCTGGGTGGCCACTATAAGGATGTTTATGCACTCCGGCAAGCATACTTTACAGGTTCTTCTGTAATATGTGATTATTGTGGGACCCAGGACTAATTCAGGTGCCAGTATTCTCAGTGGGGTAGAAAAAAGATGCTTCTCTCCTTTGGTGACCCTTCTCCCCAGCCAGCAGCAGCTCTTGCCCTTTCAGGCTCCTCTCTGCACCAGGTCACTTCTGTTCAGTGCTGTGATTCAACAAACTCTCCCTCCCTCCCTCCTCAAGGTGGCTCAGCTGCCAGGCCCAGCAAGACACTGTTGGTTTAAACCGCTTTATTGGAGTTGGCTGGTACTCACAGGTTGGGTCATATACACAGGGCCCGCTCACCCCTAGGCAAAGCCCTGGGCCTCCCACCTCCCCTCCATCACCGAGGGTGGCCAGAGGTTTGAGCCAGTTCCGGGGCAGGGTGGGCCCAATAGAAATATTTACAAACCACCAGGGTGGGTGTCCCCTGATCAGGAATGGGGGATGGGATGGGTGGAGGGGATCCCTTGGGTGGATTTCACAAGCCCAAGACAGGGCTGGGCATGGGGGATGCCGGCAGAGAGGGGCTCGGGGAGAGCCTCGAGGGCCCAATACGAGCCTGCTGGTGCTAGCTCTGCCTGGCAAGGCAGCCTCCCGCGTGGGGCTGGTGGGTCTCCACTTCCCTGGGGGACCCGGAGCCGGTTCCAGGTAGCAGGAGCATGGGGCCCCTCACGGTCCGGCTCCTCACCAGGGGGCTGGCCGCAAGGACGGGGTGCACGAGGCGGAGCCGGGAGGGGGGCAAGCAAGCAAAGCACACGCGGGACTCCTCTGCCGCCGTCGCCGCAGGGCCAGGAGGACTGCATGCGGGACGGGAGGGCTACAGGCTGCAGGCCTCGGGCAGAGAGCGCTTGCGCAGCTCCCGGCCGGGCTTGGGCGGTGGCGCGGGCGCGGCGGGGGGCGCATCAGGCAGCTGCAGCACCGAGTTCTCTCCAGGCTGCACCCGCAAGTAAGCCTTGACCTTGTGGTGCCGGGCCTTGCCGTCGCTGAAGTCGATCACGCGACACTCGTAGGTGCCTTCGTCAGTGGGCTTCACCCGCGACAGCCGCAGCTTGTGGGAGATGTTGCTGCCCACCACCTTGACCACCTGGGGGCGACAGAGGCACTGTGAGGACCGGTCGGGGTTGCGAGCCAAGCTGCCAGGCTGCTCCCACCCCAGATACAGCCAGGGAGGGGACCCAAGGTCAGCATCCCAGCAGCTGAAAGGCAAACAGACAAACAGAAGCAACGCTAATGCCTATCCACGGGGTGGTGCGTGCAGCCAGTGGAGTACTGCCCAGCAGTGAAGAAGGGAGAGCCAGAACCCAGCCTGTGAGAGTTCCGCACTCAAGCAAGGAACAAGTCTGGCAAAGCTCCCAGGCTGTGTTGTTGTTTATGAACAAACTGAAAAACCCCTGCATAGGAGGGAAGCCAGCTGCCTCACAGCAGGGCTTGGGAGAAACGTGGGTAGGGAGCTTTGTGCCACAGTGACTATGTGGTCAGAGGAAAATCTGCAGGGGTCACCTCTCCTTCCCTTCCACCATCTGGATCCAAGGCTCAAACTTAGGTGTCTGGTTTCATGGCCAGCGCCATTACTTGCTGAGCCATCCCACCAGCCCCAAGGGTTCTTTAAGATAGAGGCTGGAAGATGGAGACTGGGAAGATGGTTCAGCATTTAAGTGCAGTGGCTGTTCTTGTAGGGGACAGCACCCACATGACAGCTCACAACTGGAACTCTAGTTCCAAGGAATCCTATTCCCTCCTCCAGCTTCCACAGCCACCAGGCACATAGGCGGTGAACAGACATACATCCAGGCAAACACATACATAAATAAAGTCTAAAGGAAAAATAAAAAAGGATACAGGCTGACAACCAAAGCACTACAGCTGGATGCTTAGTAAGGTTTTTCCTCCCGCCGCCGCCTGGTCTGTCCCACCACCTCGCCAGCCCCAAATATCACACAGAGACTCTGTATTTGATATAATTCTGTTGGCCCGGTACTAGTTTCTTATCTGCTAGCTCTGTCTTAAGTATTAACCCATTTCTACTGATCTATGTATTTTCATGTGGTCTTCTCTTACCGGGGAGCCGGCCGGCATTCTGCTTTCTCCAGACTCTCCATCTTGATTCCTCCTTACTATTTCCTCTTTTCTCCTTGTCTCCTAGTCTCTCCTACCCTCCTTTCCTATTGGCCAACAGTGCTTTATTCATTAACCAGTAAGAGAAACATATATACATAACGGCATCTCCCATCAGGAGTGAGTGGTATGCTTGTAAAGTTTTGCCTTTTTATTGATTTGAATTGTTATAAAGCTATGATCTCACTATGTTGTCCAGGTTGCCTGAGTCAGAACCTTCCTGTCTTAACCTCCTGAACTAATGTTATAATATAATTATTATAACACTATACCTAACCCTTGGTTGGAGCCCTGTTGTCCTGGGTCAAGTACGCCCAACTGGATGGACAGCCCATTCATGCTCATGCCCGTGTGCCTGCCATGGAGACTGTCTAAACCCGTGGACCTCTTCTGTGTCAGTACTTAATCCCCACTAGGGGCTTCCTTTCCATATCTGTCCCCGTAGTTCAGCCACCTTCTAGCACTGTGTAGGACTGCCCTTTGCCAAGCATGACTTTCACAGGATGCCAGATCGGCTGTTTCTGTGTACTGCTGTGTGGTATTCATTGGTGACCACACTGGCTTGTCTACACAGTTTCCTGTTGGCTGGTATTCGGGTAATTTCCAGATTAGTACTCTCGTGAATAAATCTGCTGCTAATATAACTCTGCTGGCAACTTTTTTTTTTTTTTTTCAATTACAAGAGAAAAGGCAGTTGGAGTAAAATGCATCATTGGTATGACTGGAATGGTGGATATGGGACATGGGTTTATTTCTGTAAATTTCTACACTTCTATCATTAAAAAAAAGTTAAAGGAAATGAAGTTGGACCTTTATTTAGGGAAGGACCTTTCTTAGAGCTGGAGGCCCAGCCCTACTGGAAACCAGTCCCCAGCCATCATCTGGCAGTACCCATCTTCCTAGGCTGCTCAGCCCACCAGCCTGGTCCCTGAGCACTAATGTTCCCTCTTCTAGATAGCCTGCCAAGTCCCCAAGTTTTGCTTTGGGGCCCTGGTGGGTTTCCTGCTGAACCCCCCCCAACAAAGTGAGGGACCCCAGGGTAAAAAGGATGGTCCCTGAGGGGGGCATGGCCTGTAGACATATTTCCCAGCCTGCACTGAGGCACACACATAGCCTGGCACAAACAGCAGCCAGTGTCTGTTGAGTAGAAGGACTAGCTCCATCTCCTTTTTCCAATTGGAGTACAGCCTAAATGCCATCCTCTTAGGGTGCGCACACACACACACACACACACACACTCGGTAACCACTTTACTGATGGGGAAACTGACTAGCCTCTGTGCATTCACCCTAAGGACCATGTGATAGACCCACAGAGGATTCCAGAGCTGGCAGCACAGGCTCCATAAGAGCCACCTGGTGAGGAGCCCATCCCCCAGGAAGCAGGAAAACATGGGCTTATGGTATAGCAAGAGGAACTGGAGTGGGACACAGACAGAGTGTCCCAATGGGGGAAACAAGGCACAAGAGTCAAGAATCAGACGCTCCCTCCTCTCTCATGTGGGGCTCAGCTGATGTCAACTCTGCCCACTAACTGCATAACCCTGACCAAGGGCACAGAAAGACCCCCGCGGTCCCGCCATGCTCTTCTGTGAGTTAGGAGAAGCCATTGCAAATGCGCAGCGGGAGCGAATTACCTCAACATCTGTTTCCCTCACGGATATTAATTATCCTTCATTTGTCAACCCTACAAGGCGCTAATGGAGTAATAATGCGCAGCGCTGGGGACAGCAGCTCCTGGGGAGGGAAGCCTACGCCCCGCCCTCCAGGCGCAGGCAGAGGGGACGCTGAGACCTCTGCCTTAGCTGTCAGCCCCTGTGCAGCCTCCCGGAGGACAACAGACAATGGTGGCCTTCAGAAGGGCAGCGCTTCCATCAGGGGCTGGTGGGACAAGGTCTACATCACAAGCCACTCTCGAGTACCCTGGCCATCCTAGTCAGAAGCCAGAAGGAGGCGGGGCTGGAGCCTCAGCTTTGCCCTCAGCACAATGTGCAAAAGGCAAAGACCCAAACAGCAGCAGGGCTCAGAGCCCTCCCTCGTTGTAGTACCATGTCCCAGAACCTCCTAGGGTCCCTAAGAGAGAAAACTGAGGCTCCCTAGATCAGGAATGCATGGCCACACCCAGGGCGTGGCCTATGGGAAGAAACCCCTCCCACCTCACTCCCCAGCCTCTAGCACTCGGTCATTGGTGAGCCCTGCCCTAAGTCTGATCCATGGCTGCTCCATTGGAGGGGCTCTCTATACCACCTCAGTCGTTTGGAATGATGGAAAAGCCTGCTGGGCTTCCTCATTCAGGAATCCGTGCGACTGGAGAGGCCAAAAGACACACCCGCAGGGCAGCCTGGCTGTAAATCATAATCACAGCCCAGCATCGACAGGCCTCAGCGATTAAGCACCTAATCACGCCGAAAGAGCCTGGCCAGGCGGCTCTGACCGCCAGCCTCCTGCTGGCCACAGCCACACACCCCAGGCCCTGTCCTCCCAGCTGGGCCAGGAGGAAAGGCCAGGCAGGCCATCTGTGCCCACAGGGTGACCTTTGCTTCCGTGTGGTTTCAAGGGGAAACCTGGGAGGTGCCTGGGGAATCAGGGAGGGATGGGCTGGTCTAGCCAGGGCCAGCTACTGCTCGACTCTGCCACTTCACCAGCCCCTGAGCAGATTCAAAGCCCAAGTTAGGAAGCGCCTAGCTCTGGGGCCCTGTGGTTCTACTATGGTGATCTTGCACTATGAAGCATTTCCAGCCCGGACTCCCTCGGCTCCTGCCCCTGAACATGTGAGATACCACTGTTCTATCCAGACCTCACCATCTGCAGGAGCCAGGGCAGCCCCTGACTCTGCCAGTTGGGTCATCAACAGAGCCTCCTCCAGTATCTTCCCAAAGTGCCCCAACCCCATTCCACCTGCTCTTCCTTGATTGGCTGCAAGCCCACCCACAGCTGGCACAGCCCAGAGGGCCCTTCAGGGCGCCCCAGGCCTGTGTTAGCTCAGGCCCCTGGCACAGGTTCTCAGAAATCAGCCACTCTCCTCCTGTGGCATGGCAGCTGCCATGTTCCCTTTTCTCTCCCGGGGGAAGTAAATACATGCCCATTTTCCGATTGGGCCTGGGGATTGGGCACAAGTGACTGGCCTTCTGGAAGTGTTTCTTGCTGTCATCACTTGACAGGGAAAGGGGACATTCTTTTTTTTTTAAAAAAAACTAATTTTTGTGAGCGCATGAATGTATGGGTATGTGCTTGTTCTGACACGTATGTGGAGGTCAGGGGATGACATGAGGTTCAGTTCTCTCCTATTATATGGGTCCCAGGGATCAAACTCAGGTCATTAGGCTCAGGGTGGGGGTGGGGGGAAGCAACTTTATCCACTGAGCTGTGGAACTTCTTAAGTCAGCAATTCAGCATCATCTTTACCTGTGCGACCAGTGAGGGATCAATTTAACCCCCAATTCAGCCCCTAATGCAGAGAGCATTAGCTAGACCACAGCAGAACTTGAACACAGCTGTCAATGAAGGAGAGCTTTACAGAATGGCAGCCTGGGGCTCTGCAGGCCACAAGTAAGTACTGGGTCCCTCAGCACAAGCTAATTCTGGTTTCTAGTGTTTTCTTACACTATCTTATTCCAGAAACAGAGATGAAGAGGAGGCAGAGGCAGAGCCAGAGCCAGAGCTCAGCTCCTGGCATACTAAGTGCCAGCCCTATGGTATCCTCAGGATCCCCAACTACCGTCACTATAACCAACCCTGAGTCTGGACATCTGTAGGATTCCATAGCAGGCTCCACAGGTTCAGAAGTGTCCCCCACTACCTACTGAAGCCAAGTCTCCCACAGGCCCTGGCACTGCCTGGCCCATAGTTCACATAGTGGTTCATCAAAGGCCCAAAGATGTCCCACCAGCTATAAAGCTGGGAGCCAGTGCAGCAAATTTGGCCTTTAGATGATGTGAGAACACAAGGTCTGGATCTTCTGGTCCCTGCAGTCCCCATATGAGTTCCTCACTCACTATTATCACCTGGACACACAGGTACACAAAGTCAACTCACACCATGCTAACACTCATATATACCGACATGTTTGTATATACATTGGTCTGAGAGTGTGTGAGAGGGATAGTAATTAGTAAATATTAACTGGGCATCTTTTATGTGCCAGGCTCTATGTTGGTCCATGGAAATGCAACCATGAACCAGGTTCATCCTGGGCCTACTGTGTCTGGGGGAGACTGACATGAAGTAATCCAGGGGTGGCTAATGACAGAAACATAGCCATCAGGGAAGGGGAAGGGTGCAGTTGTAACTGGGCCCAGGAGGCTTTCCTCAGCTGAGCAATGAAAGGAGAGATAGGAATAGATTTCTAGGCAGAGAGCCCAGACTATGCAAAGGCCCAGGGGTAGGAGGGAACAGATGAGCCTGGACATGGCAGAATAGTCACAGAGCCTTGAAGGTCTAGAAGAAAAGTTTGTGCCATTGCCTAAGACATTAAGAAGACAGGCTGCGGGTCTGCCTTCGGGTGTGGTCTGCTCTGCCTGTGTATTTAGGAACGCTGGCTTACATGGCTGTGTAAAAGGCTGGGCCTGGTACCAGACCCTGAAGCCCCAGCTGGTGTGAGGATTATAGGAATGGACTGGGGGTGACTTCACACTCCCACAGAGAACATTTATTTTATTTAACTAATTAGCATTGCATTCCCCTCTCTTGAGGCTAGCAGCCTGGAATTATAATCCTCTCAATCAATTAGATAATTCTTTCTTTGCCAGAGCCCAGAGCCACTCACGGAATGGGACACAATCAAGGCAGAGGGTGTGTCCTCGGAAGTTGGTGTGTTGGTACATCTGGAGACCTCTGCCTGGTGGGCATAGAGGAAAGAAATGGGGAATGAAACAGGAGCATGCCCTTGGCTGAGGGCCGGAGCGCAGGATTGGCTGCCTTAAACTGTGAATGGCTGAGATTCCCATGCCAGAAGGTCCCAGGGTTGCTGTGACTCCATCCAGTCTCTCACTTGCTAGCCCCTTCCCTGAGTGGCTGAAGGAGCCTCCTCCCTGCCCTCCTGGCCACAGTGCCCTTACTTGTCCTGGTAGCTACTCTCCTGCAACCCCTGGTTCAGGAGCACAGCTTCCCTTGGACTGTACTGGCCCCAGGGACCCTGATGTCCCCTATGGTCCCTAAGAAGCTGTAGGAGACCCAGCCAAAAAGGGGGATTGGAAAGGCTTCCCCCCACACCTTTCTTATCTATATTAGGGCGCCTGCACTATGGGTGTGTTGCTGGCGAACTTCCAGGACCCCAGCCCAGTCTTGTGGCCACATGTATGCCCAGAATAGTCCCCTCTGCTCCATGTTCTCCCCCCCCCCATTTTATCTTCTTTCTAGACAGTGCCTTTCTCTTCCATGCTGGGCTTTAGGCACTCAAACTCCACAGTAACTGTCGCATCCCAGCTCCCTGGGCTTTGGCAGAGGACAAGAAGCTTAGCAACACTAGCCACACTTAGGTACTCTCCAGCTTCAGCTACCCAGGCTGTAAAATGGATGGACAGATACTTGGCCTTCTCTGCCCACTACGGCCAAAAACAAAACAAAAACAAAAAAAACAAAACCTTGAGTGGATGCCTAAGACCAGCCAGTCCTAGAGTCCCTGCTCCTGGAAGTCACACCCAGGGATTCTGAGATGCTCTAGCATCAGTCATGATGTGGGGGGGGGGGGGATAGCCTACTCAGCCTCCTGAGACCTTGTAGCTTCCCAGTGACAAATGGGGTTGAGTCAGGCATGGAACACCAGGGAGGCATACCTGGCCTTGGCCTGCCAGGGGAGAATTTGTCTTCTCTCTCCCGTCATTTTTCCTGCCTGCCATTCAATGAACTTGAAAAATCTCTAACAAAAAAAGACCCAGAAAAACAAACAAAAAACCCCCACCAGGCTGGCATCTCCCATCCCCCCCCACTTCCTCTATTTTCTTGCCCAAGTTCCCTGCTGAAATGGGAAGAAAAAAAAAAAAAGAAAGAAAAGAAAAACATTTTTTGTTGTTACAGCAGCATCTTCCATTAAACCATTTGTGGAAAGTCATTATCAAAACTCACACTTATTTTGGTGGCGTCCTTCCCCGAGTCCTCCTGCTGAGATGCTTTTAGCTGTCCAGAGAGGGAGAACAGAGAGCAGAGACAAGGGTTAGAGAGGGGTCGGGGTGGGGAGAAACGGCACGGAGACAGGATCATGGTCAAGGACGCTGGATTTCATCAGTGCACAGTGTATACAGCTGTGGAAATGTCACTCTGAATCCTATTTACAGACACACTTACATACATTCCAGTCAAATTTAAAAATGATAATGTAAAAAAAGGCTGGAGAGATGACTGAGCAGTAAAGAACTGTTGCTGCTCTTCCAGAAGACCCAAGCTTAGAGCCAATGCCAAGCTCCAAGGGATCCAGTGCCCCCTTCTGGTCTCCATAGGTACTTGCATCTACACAATGCACATACATACACACTCAGGCACACACGCTCAGGCACACATATGCAACTAAAATAGTAAACAAATAAATCTTATAAAAATAAGGTTCTAGCTAGAGATCATGAGGTCTGGAATTGGGGTCTTTCAGCTCTGTGTCCACTGGCAATGCAGGAGAGGGCAGCCAAAGGGAGAGGAAGGAGATGCTTGTGACCCTGGCCATAGGGCCAGGCATCTGGACTCACAGGATGTTTGGCTATAATGGCCATGTGTCTGTGTGTACATACAAATGGGGAAAGTGTGGATGGAGTGTCTCTAGAAGTCTGTGCCCGTCTGGGAATGTGCTGGTAAGGTTGCATGTTTGAACCTGGACATAATGTTTGTAGCAGATACAGTTGAATCACTGATCATGTCCTGGAGGCTTCCACCCCAAAATACCCAAAAATACCTTTGAATGCCCATAGATATCCCAAACTCACTTCCTAAGGGTTTCCTCTGTCTATATGGATCTTCCATGCCTGCTTGTGGCAGGCTGACATATTGGGAACTGTCACTCCCATGATCAAGACAGTTTGCCATGGACTTGTACTAAGGGTGTGTGCTCATGAAGGTGTGTACACATATGTTCATATATATATATATATATGTGTGTGTGTGTGTGCTTATGAAGGTGTGTACACATATGTTCATATATATGTATATATATGTGTGTGTGTGTGTGTATGTGTATCTATGCTTGTATGTATGTATCTTTGTGGGATCACTGTCTCAGAAGATGTCCCTGAAGGTGTGTACTCACATGTTCATGTAGGTATGTATATATCTTTGTGCTGTTGTACAGACAGTGTGGGATCACTGTCTTAGACGGTGTCCCTGAAGGCAGACCTGAAGAGCATGAAGGAAGCACACTCGTTTGGTAGGGAAGGCTAGGAAACCCTGAAGGGAAGGTAGGGAGCCAGACAATGGTTTAGCCAACCTTACCTTGCTAGGTGCCTTGGGAACACAGGGCCTTATCAAGGAATGACCCAGCCTCAGGGAGAGGGAGCAGGCCACTTATCCCTCCTATCTCTGGGCCAAGGCTGCCCCCATCTGCTTTGCTTACAGCAAGTGCAACTTCCTAGATAAAGCCCATAGAGTAGCAGCGGCTGTGGCTGAGTGAACTCAGGAGACTGTGCATGGAGGACTGAGTGTGTCTGCTGTGACCTAGTGCAGGGAGCCTGTTGGCATGTAAGCATGGGTGCTTGAAATGAATCATGTAACAACATGGCCCTCCTTGCAGAGCCCTTTACAAAAGTACTGCCAGTGTGATATGGAGAAGTGACAGGAAGTGTCCTGAGACCCATTCATCCAAACCCTGAAGGAGGTTCCATCCTGCTGGCCTCAGTCTCCCTGGCAACAGAGGAGGCCTAGAACAAGCATTGTTCTGGCCACCACCTGCGCTATCCCCGCAAGGAAGGAGTGCCCGAAGGGTGTTGCTGAGAACATGGGGCCCTTGCAGCATCCCCCGTGGATGCATTCCCAAGGTCTTACCTGGTTGGAGGCCCATGTCTGCTTGTCAGTCCAGTCCCGGTGGCTGCGCAGGTACCACCACTGGATCTCCAGTGAGTAGGATGGAGAGCCACTGCCTCGGAAGGAGCAGGCCATCTCCACGTCCTCGCCTGTCCGTGCCGTCATGTCATGGGGCGTCTCTGTGAAAAGTGCTGTTTGGGGAACAGGCAGATGAGGGCTCAGAAACAGGAGCCTGGTCCCAAGAGAGCTGTGTGTGGCATGACACTCCTAGAGACTGAGGAGGACAGGGGCAGAGCAGTGACGGAGGGCTGACTTGCAAGTGAGCCAGGAGGCCAGAAGGCAAGGAGGCTGCCAATTTTAATTCTTCCAGATTCTTCTATTCACCCTACCCAGTGCCCAGCCCTGTGAGCCTAAGCTGCACCATTTTCTAAGCTCAAACCCAGCCATAAGGTCCCCACTTCCCCTGGGGTTCACCCAGACACCACGCTGACCCTTCTGGAGCAGGGCTGGGATTCTGTCAGGCTCCCCTCCCTCTTCCTGGGCTCCTGCCTCTTCTCCCAGCTCCCTTTGCTCTGGGGATTCTCCACTTCCTGCGTGGTTCCTGTGGTCAATTAAAGTTCAGCTCCGAGTCACCCCTTTATGGACTCCAGCAACTCTTTGTTCAGTGGCCACCAGCTTGGCTGCTCCAGATGTGCAGAGCGGGATGCAGAGGAGAGAGGCAGCCACTCTGCCTGGCTGGCATTCCTGCAGGGCCCAGCTCCCACCAAGCCTCAGAACAACCAGTTCTAGGAGCCAGCAGCAGTCCCCTGCCCAGGTTACAATGCTGAACCCCCACTTCACGAGCCCAGCCCCCTCCCCTCTATATGCTCTGGCTCTTTCCCCCCAAACTTCTGAGATGCAATTAGCGCGACTTCTTCCTCACAGAAGGAAGATGGTAGATGCCTAGCAACTGCAGGTCACCCCAGGCATGCAACTTCCATCAGCCCCCACCCCTGGGCTATGCAGTCCCCCAGATCCAGGTCAGAGGGACAGACATTCCTATCCCCAGAGGGCCTCCTGTCCCAGCAAAGAGAGCCCTGAGTGAAGAGGTGGCATCTTGAATCAAGGAGCAGTGACCCCACTCCCTCCACAGGACAAGGGGAGTTTCGTGTGATCAGGTTTGACAAGTGTCTTTGCTTTGCACAAGGTACCCATGTGGAGCTTTTCTTCAGCAACATCTCGGGATTGAGAGAAAGCCTAGCAGGCCAATGTTTAGAAAGCTTCTTACGGATGTAGGGGGGAGGGAGGAGGGGAAGCTTTCCTGTTTCTCTGCAGAGTGGAAGGGCTAGCTAGCCCTGGATACACAAACAAGGCCTGTTTGATGATGAACATGGCTTGAGTCATGGAGATGGTATGGATGCTGTGAGCTACCTTTACACATGGCTGGGCAAGAGCTGGGCTGTCCCTGTCCTCGGGGCAGGAGGAAACCAGGCTCCTAGAGGGGTAGTGCCAACCACACTTGCCCTCCTTGTCACAGGCCAGGGCCTGTGACAAGTACTCAGACCACAGTCCCAAGCTCTCTGCCTCAACCCCCACAACCTACACTAGGTCCATGGGTTCTGGCCCAGGGTTCTCCAGACTCCAGCGCCTTGCCACAGGGCCAAGCCGCCATTATCACACTGGCCCAGCTACTTCACTCTTCCCTGGAAACAACCTGTTTTTACACAGTAGCTGGAGGTGTTTCAACACAGCACTAACTGTCCCTTGCTCCTCTCACTGCAATCTCCTGGCATCTTCTCATCTAGGGTGGGAGCTGAAGCTCTTATGAGGGAAAGATGGTCTGTATGTAAGGCAACATAGTGGCCACTTGCTGAGTGAACCGGGGACCTGGATTTTAAATTTTATTTTAATTCACTTAAATGGAATCATTTGTGTACAGGAATATCTTGTGTGGCACAGCTAACATGTTATCTGTCCTCCCAGGAGGTACAGTCATTCCTGTGCTGTCTGTCTGTCTATCATCTGTCTATTGTCTATCTATCATCTATCAATCTGTCTATCATATATGTATCTATCTATTCATCTGTCACCAGGAGAAGGCAGCAGCATCCTGGAACAAGTGTCCCCTGGAGGGCCAGGGATATGAGACTGGCTGGGTGTGGGACACCTGTGACCCACACCACATGCCACTGCTAACCCTCAGAGACCAGAGAGTGGCACCACCTGCTCTCCCACAGAGCAAGCTCCACTTAAGATCCTGGAGCTAAGCAAGGGAAGGCTACATCAGCCCTGAGATACAACCTTGGAACCTCTCCTCCTCTCCAAAGTGTGATTCTGTGGCCCACAGGCAGCAGACAAGACAGTGAGGGTCGTGTGTGTGGCTCCAAGTAAAAGGAAGGGACATGCCTCTGCCTGCCCACTTAGTGTCTCTTGGTCACAGCCTCCTGTCCGCCTCCTCACCCGAGCAGCAGCTTCCTTGGCTGAGGCCCACAGTTCCACTCACTAGGGTCAGAGAATGCAGAGTGTGTTCTGGGCGCTCCATCAGCCAGGGTCAGTGAGACCAGGTCCCATTCTTTGAATCCCTGAGATAGCTCTGTCCTGTGGCTTGGGATGGGCCAGAGCACAAGATGGGGCCCACCCCAGGTAGCCACTTCACTGGATTTCCAGTGATGGTTTAGGACAGCCCTTTCCAATAGAAACATGCATGAAAGAACGATGTGACACCATAAGTCACACACATTTTCTGGTTTCCCCATGAAAAAAGGTTTTTAAAAAGCTAAAATTAATTTTAATAATATATTTTCCTAAACCAATACCAACAAATATCATTTCAACATGTGATAAAGTTAGTTATTAATGAGGCATTTTGCATCTTATTTTTTTTTTTTCTTTTTGGTGCTAAGTAGTGGAAACCTGAGCATGTCTCAGTCTGGATCAACCACAGTCCCAGCATTTGGTGGCAGTTATGCGGATGTCTTACAGACAATGAGCTCCCTTGCCTGTCCTTGTGATTTAGGGGAGCAGCTGCCCCCCACCAGTACAGTCCTTTCCCATACTACGAGAGTCAGAATTTGAACCCAGACCAGCCTGACTCCCTAGACCCCCACTCCCCACCACCACATACTTAGAGATTTGGTTACTTTGGGGGGTTGTTTTGTTTCGTTGTGTTTAATGGAGGGTCTTACTATGTAGTCCTTGCTGTCCTGGAACTCACTCTGTAGACCACACTGGCCTCAAACTCACAGAGATCCACCTGCCTCTGCCTCCCGAGTGTTGGGACTAAAGATTGTGCCACCACACTCTGACATCTGTTGCCTTTTGCTTGTAGAGCTCTTTCTACAAAGGGGGGCGGGGCCCTGGGCTAGCGGTGAGGCTGAGTCATTTCAGTGCTGGCCTACCATGCATGAGGCCCCGGGGCTTGATCCCTCACATGGCATAGTCTGGGCACAGTGGCATACAACTGTAATTCCAGCACTCAGCAAGTAGAGATAGGGAAACTGGAAGTTCAAGATCATTCTTGGCTATGTGGCAAGTTCAAAGCAAGCCCTGCATACATGAGACTCTATCTCAAAAAGAGAAAGTCTGCAGCACCCTGGAGGGCAGAGGAAGAGCTGTTCCACAGTACACACAGCTTGCCCAGTCTGAGGCAATCAAGAAGACTTTCCTGAGGCGGTGTTCCCTGGCCTCAGCCCCGGTGCACAGACCATCCTAACACAGAGTAGACAGGGGTTATAGATGGGAGATCAAAGGGAGACTACAAGGCCATTGCTGTGGCCATCGCTGCCAGCTCCACCTCCCGCAGGGGTTCTGGTCCAGGGTTTCTCTGGTCCCCTCAGACTCATCAGGGGCTCTAAGGTGGGGTGCGGTGAGGCCTCCCTGGATCCCCTCATCTAGCTTCCCAGTGAAGGAGGAAGTATGAATAAAAGACAGAGAAAACAGGTTCTATGCATGTGACAGAACATCCAAGTTCCCCTGTCCACAGTCAGCCACCTGAACACATGTCTGTCCCTCCAAGCGGCTGCGTGAGTCCAGTGTGTGGGGAATCCTGAGAGCACTGGGCGAGGAGCCAGGAGCACACTGGGCAGGAGTCGTAGTCTGCCTCTGCCAACTGTTCTGCTCTCACCTCAGAATTGCTCCCCATCTTGGGCACCAGTGTGTCTTTCTATAAGATAGGGGGAGTCCCGGGGACACTCCACGGATAATATGCTATGTGTCCTAAGGCTGTGCTCTGGCCTCAGAAAGGAGGCAATCTGGGAGAGCTTCAGGGAGGAGGTGAGCTGGGTACAGCCTGATGGCTGAGGTGAATGGGGGCCCCACTGGGCTAGCTCTGCAGACTCAGGCGTATGTGCACGGGTGTGTGCACATATATGACTACACACTGCCATCCACCATGAGCCCAGTGCTGCTTAGACCTTGTCTCCAACACTCTCGTCTGCCCCACGTGGGAGATACAGAGACGGAGCTAGGGAGAGTGAGGTGGCTGCCCACATCCACACGGAACTACACTCTCGACCTACAATGTGGCCAGCCCATGTACCCACAGCGGCTCCTTCCGTTCCTCCCATAGGGCAGCTATCTTCCTAATGGTCCCACTTTTCAGATGCAGCTGGGCCTAAGAGAGGTTAAGCAACGTGCCCAAGGTCACAGAGTGAGTCTCTGGATAAACTGAACCCAAGTTTAGAAGACTTGAAGGTGGGAGTTTGGCTAGATCATCTCTGAGCACCTCCTTCCAAGCCCCAGCCCTTGCTGCCAGCCTTCTGCCTCCCAGGGGCATCTCAGAGGCTCTCAGACATGATCTCCCTCTGTCTTCTTTAACCACCCCAGGTTCCTTCTAGCTCAGGTGCCTCCTGGAGCCTCAGTGCATCTCCAGGGACAGTGTAATTATAGATTTTGGAGGAAGGGTATTTGTGTTCTTCAGCCCCAGGGCCTGTGCCTGCCTGGCTGACTCTCAGGAAAACTCAAGGAAGACAATTAAACCCAGTGTCCACAAATTAGGATTCTGTAGAAGGAACAGGGGCTTGATTGAGCGTGACATCAGCTGCCTTTCTGCTGTTAATTGGGGCAGCGATACACTCATTAACCCCAGGCCCTATCAGGCATTGGATGCAGGGACTGGTGCGGCCTGGCGGTTCTGTCCTCACTGTCAGGTCCTTGCAGCCTGGGCCTGGTCCACCCAGACAGCTCTAGCTTTGCCTTCAGTCCTGTCAGCTTG